TTAAGAAAAGACTTAGAAAAATAATGAAAAGAAAAGAAAAATTATAGAGAAATTATAATATTGTTACAAATATTGTGTTTTGAAAGAATTTTTTAATTATAAGAGCTTCTAGATTATTTAGCAGCAATCTGAAAAGTGTGAGATGTCTGTAGAAGCTAATTGGGTATTTAGGAAATTTTAATGAATACCAGAAAAGTGAAATTTCTAGGACAACCCAGCAGATTTTCCTAAAATGCCAATGAAAAAACCTGCAAAGACAGGTTTTAGTTTTTATTTTTTTGTTTATATCTCAGTGAGTTTTGGTTTGTTTATAATAAACTATATATCAAAATGACTGGCACAGAGTGCTTGATGTTTTCTAATAGGTAACAAAGTAAGTTTACTTAATAAAATATGTGTCAAATAGGCAAAAACCAAAAAATTAGTTTTTGAAGATTTTCTTGGTGGCCAAGTGTTGTTGGGACTTAAATCATGGCCGCCTAGAAGCAAAAAAGTGAGCTTAGCAACTTTACTTAAGAGTACAAGTAAGGTTTACTTAGTAAAATATTGAGAAATAATTAAATGTTTTTAGCAAAAATTTGGCACAAGTGATCTACAGAGAGAGTTACAGAATTGGTCGATATATATCATAAATATTAAATCAATATTGGTATAATATTGACAGTTAAATAAATAATTACATTAAAATAATATTCATTTTGCTTAAAAAATATACTTATAAACTTATTAATTTCTGATTAATACAATTTCTTGTAATGTTCTTCTGTACTCAAATAAAAAAATTATGTATTATAAATATTAAATTAATATCAGTTAATGTCATTAGTTAAATAAATAACTATATTAAAATAATATTTTTTTGCTTAAAAGATATACTTGTAAACTTATTAGTTTCTTATTAATACTAATTCTTGTAACATTCTTCTGTATTCAAATAAAAAATTATATATTATAAATATTAAATTAATATCAGTATAATATCATTAGTTAAATAAAACTAATCTCTTATATATAATTACTAATATCCAAATCTAGATGAGCTCTGATGTTGACATTAAGAGTTTTACACATTTTTGACCATAACTTTTGATGTGCTAGACCAATTTGGATAAAATAACTACTATTTGATTCAGCTCACTGAGCTGGTTCTAAAGAATACAAAATCATGTGATTCTGATTACTGGATCCTGAGATTGGCAAAGATTTGTAAAATTAGCAATTTCATCAAGCACATGACTTGATTCTGATTGGCTCAAATTACTGTGCCGAAAATCTATCATTTTTATCATTTCTATAAGATTTATCATTTCTATTATTTCTATCATTTCTATCATTTCTATTAGATCTATCATTTCTATTATTTCTATAATATCTACAATATCTTTTATATATTTTATATCTTTTATATCTATTATATCTATTAGTTCTTATATATATTAACATTACTATATATAGTATTTATTAGCAATAGAGTAGTCTTTATTGTAATTATTTATACATATAAAATATCTATAAAAGCACTGCTTTCTTGCCTTTCAAGAAAGTTAAGTGTCTTCATACATTTCATAGTTAATAAACTGAATGCAATATTTAGTATCTTCATATATTATCTATTGTTGCCTCTACCTTAAAACACCAAATCACTCTGTATATTGTTAAGTCTTGTGTAGACTTTGTATAGAATCTGTCAAGTTATAGTTATCATATTATAGTTGAACAGCATCTGTTATTGCTGTGATTAAAGAACAAACTACAGGTTAACACTAGCCACTCCTGTTAGTTTAGGTCACAAATAAACTAGTCTGAGCTTCTACTCTTTTTATAATATTTGTAAAAGTAAATTTATACTTTATGTAAAAATTTCAAATAAATATTCAATAAAGATAGAGATATAGCCTCACTATTAATATTAAAAAAAAAATTCATTATTAAATAAATGACTTGAATGACAACAACCAGCAAGAAAACAATAAAGACCAAGACAACAATAATTCAAACCAAACAGGAAAACAAAAAGAAAAAGTTGAACAGAAAGGAAAAGAAACTAAAGCAAAGAAAATCACACCAAAACGTAATACTATAAATGATCTTGACTGGTTTAAAAGCTATCCTATTATAACAACCATGCAACAACATAATAAACTTAATACTCCACTAGCCCAACAACTGTTTACTCTTCTAAAATCCAATCTTAGAGACTTCATTCCTGGACAAATCATTTCTAAAAAAACTGATAATAACAAACCTAATAATAGACCTCTAGCCAAATTCTCTTTTACTTATATTCTCAATAAGATGGCAGGAGATAAACCAAAATTTCTAACAGATTTTGTTATAAAATCTAGTCCAGACTTTGATCAAACTAAACCTATTCCTTTTAAAGCTCTTCACGATACTCTTAAAGGCTTGCTTTCTAAATTTACAACAGTCTTCTTCACCCAATTGGACTATCTACATATCCTCTATTCACACTACTCTATTCCACCCTACTCATATACTAATAGATGTAGAGTAGCCATTAATTTAGCCTGTCTACACCTCTACTTAAACCATACATACAAAACTATTAACTTTGAAAAATTTATAGAAAAGCTTGACATTAAACCATTGCGATTTACTCTTAATTTTGATATTCAACATAGTTCAGACCAATTAAAATTTGAAATTCAAAATGATAATCGATTCAACATTAAAGTTATACTTAATATACCAGCCAAAAAATTCTCAAATAACTTCAAAATCCCATTACTCAAACCCCATCTTACAACTTATGAAATCTGGTTTAATAAATTTTTTGAAAGATATAGTATTCAGTTTGACAAAATAGACCAAAAGAAAACAAGCAACTATATTAAGATGCTAATATCTCAAAAGCTTACTGAAAAATGTAAAAAATTACTTCCAACATTATATTCTCTACCTGATTTCTTGCTTACACTTAAAGAATGTTCTAATGCAACCTTCAAAGCAGCACTTCACCATATTCACCTTTGTACTAATAAAAGTTGTGATTTACTACCTAAATCAACTGAACATAACTTAGAAAATATTTCCAAATTTTACTTTTCAAACTTCTTCAAAACCCATCCTGTATTAGAATCAGAACAAAAAGAATGAATATAACCACGTCTTGAAGATAAAATCTTCCACCCTAAACAAAAACTAGCAGCAACATTTTCTGTACCAACTCCTACAGATAAACTAAGAATCCTTGCCAGTTCTACTGAAAAAACTTTTGTACAACTTAACAAAGTAGAGAGTAGTGAGGCCCGGAAAACATATTATTTCTATTGCTATTTAAGACTTTATATGAGGTCAGCTGTAGGCAATGATGGGCTTACAGGATTATCCAAACAACAGGTTCTAGAAAAATTAATCACTACTACAGAGGACATTCATACTCTTGCAAGAACTATTATATACTATAAATTACTACTGCAATTTAAAGTATCATTAAAACAAATTCATCTTGACTATAATCAATATTACTATCCAGAAGCTGAAAATTTCTTAATTAAGCATCTTAAAATATTAATTTCTGCACAATATGATGATGCACTCTTTATTCAAAATACTGATACTCCTACATCTCAAGAAAATAAAGAAAATACTGATACACTTATTTCTCATAAAAATGATGAAAATATCTTGACATCTCCAAAAGAAACTGAAGAAGCACACAACAATACAACTTCTACCTCTTCTGAGAAAACCAATAAAAATCCTTTTCAATAGTGTCTTCTACAGATTACATTAATGCAGCTGCTGCCTCTAAAATTATGATGTTCTCTGCTTATAGTAGGCTATTTTTAGAGGAGAATGATGATAGTAGGTGGGCAGTAAAGCCTATTGTAGTGAAGGACCAAGCATATGATGGCCAGACTCAATGAACAGAGCAGGCTATGGTATCCTCTGCAGCTGTGCAAGCCGAGCCTAAAACAGTGAGCGTATTTGTAGAAGACAACACATTAGGGCTAATTACAACATCTTTAATCTCCTTTGATCCTAATACTTGTTATAATTTATTCTTACATAAATACAATATACCACTCTTACATCAATCACAAACACTATACACATTTATCCAACACTTACAACATCATAACTTTACTATACTATTCAAAATATCTACTAATCTTACCTACATTGAAACTCATGTTTATACTAACTATAATGATATTTTACTTCCTATTCACATTTTACTTACTCAACATCAATACCCTACATATTACCAATTACCTTTAAAATCCTCATCTAACAGTCCTACTAATAACTCTCTGCTTAAACTCAATATTGCAACACACAATGTACAAGGATACAACACATAAAAAAAAAGACTATTATGGGAAGATTATTGTCTTACTCATAACCTACATATAATTAGTCTTACTGAAACAAAGATCTCAAAAAACACAAAAACCAAATTCTGGAACATGTCCTACTATTTATACTTCTGGTCTAATTCTACAGAATCCAAAGAAGGAACATGTATAATAATTAAAAATAACATTAAACCTCATATACATAACATACTTACACAACCTGGTGGTGCTATTGCCATAGACCTATTTTTTAAACATGACTACAAATTCGGAATTATATTAGTATATCTTTCATCAACCAATACTGCTAACCGTAAACTTACACAAGATACTGCTATTATGTGAATGCAACAAGCGATATCTTCCAACTTATATCCTATTATCCTAGGTGATTTCAACGCAGATAACAGCACTATTATATCATCAACTACTAAATTTCAACTACTTAATTATCTACATGGTACAAATATGTACGATCTAGCAGACTATACTGACAACTTACATAATATCTGGCATAGCTCTCAATATCAAACTAAAATAGACTATATATAGGTCCATGATGCTCTTATATCACATTTATATGAATTTAAACTTGATAACTCCTCATCCTCAACTAATAGTGACTACCAAATCCTAACCTCAACATGGATCTTCCCATTTGCTACAACTAAAGTCAGACATAAAAGCAAAAGTAAACGACGAATATTCAATTACAAAATTATGTCCAAAGAAGACTGGAATAACTTTACAGACCAATATACAAAGAAGCATCTTTAATAGAATCAATTAGAA